ATGTAATAATAGTAGTGTGATATTAAACACATCGTTGTTCAAATGTAACGCGTTAGCGTAAACGCCTCGTGTAAACGTCGTGATTTCACGCTCCATTACACGTTATTATCGCCTGATTATCGATCTTGTGTTAGAAACTAAGTGCAATTTATTTCTAATTTCTACAAGATCGATGCGATTTAAACGAAAGAATATGTTTTAATAGCATATAATACTACTCTTAAAACATTATATCAGTGCTCCTTAATCTGTAGTTTGATGATGACACAAGAGTTAATGTGGAGTGATGAAGAAGCTTAATTAAGCGAGTTTGTCACGTGCATCATACTAGATTCGTTTATATTGCTATATATGAAATTAGCAAAGTTGTGAAAGTATATGAGGCATTCCAGCGAGCATCTTTGAAACATTGTCATTTTTTATTTTTTAAAAATTTATTGACATAATTCTACAGATAAAAATATGAGACACATGTTTCGCGAAATAAATTTGAGATTTTTTTTTTAAAGTTATTCACTGTTGTAAGTTGCAGAAATTTAAAAAAATGTTGTTTATGCGAACATTCAAATTATTATATCGTCCAAAATCATTAGTGCTAAAAAATGCAAGACACTAATTTAAAAAATCTTAAATTGTTCTCTGAATAGGTTATTTTTAATTTATCATTTTCGTATAAATAAATCATTTTCCATTTGTTTACAATTTTTATTAACATTTTTCATCATCAACTTACTAATTTAAAAATTTTGTAAAAATATCATCATATTCCCACTTTAATTATAAAGTAACCCCGAAAATTATAAAATGGAACTTGAATGGAATGTATAGTTAAAAAATTCTATTGTGTGACGGCGCAATTCCGTATACGTATATGGAATAACTTTTTAATTTTATCGTATCCAAGAAATCAAAATGTATAAAAAAATTTTTGTAAATCTATAAATAATGCATAGATCTGTCTATTTGTCATTCACTAGGATGGAGAGAAAAGGAGTATGATATTATAATCGAAAACACGCAATCTCCGAATAATGGCCTCGGAGTTGTCCGATTTTTGAAGGAGGCCGGCTCCAACCTTTCGAAAGTGTTTTTTCTCCTCCCTGCTGCCACTGCGTGTCAGCCTTCTCTCTTTCTCGTTCAGATAGAAAAAAAAAGAAGCGATGTTCCCGTGAAAGTTGCCTTCTGGCTACTACGAAGTGCCGTCATGGCTTCCCGGTGATCTTCCCTAACTTATCCCCCCGACTTCTTCGCTGTGCTCAACCTCTTATCCTGTTTTGCTCGCAAGTATATTCGATCTTATTTCACATACAAAGTTTCTTCGCCATTTTTTTTCAAAATTACACCAACATTTTTTCGTTACGTCTTTAAGATGTTTCATTGTATCTGGGAAAGTAATTTGAGTTGCATCTGTTTTTAATAAACCTACCAGTATATTAAAAATTATACGAAATCATGATATTATATTTATAAAAGTCATAAACTCCTATTTAAGAATTGTGTGTGATCAACTGAGGGGAGAGAATAATACTATTTACTAAGCCCATTCAATAAAACGTTCAGACATGGCATAATTTATTTTCGATGTAGATTCATCATACTAAGGGAGATCAAAATTCGTGAAGAGTTCACTGTGTCCTCTCCTTATAAATTTTCTTTGGAGATTCTGCTTCGGTTCATTCACACACGACGTAACGCGGAAAAACAAAGCAACTAAAACTCACGACCTCGCGCGTATAGGACGCTTGACTTATTCACTTCGTGAATTCAAAGCGATTTGAATCGTCTGTTCTCATCATTACTCTCGTCACGTGCACGTGAGAGCCTCAGGAGAAAGAGAGAGAGAGAGAGAGAGAGAGAGAGAGAGAGAGAGAGAGAGAGAGAGAGAGAAAGCACACATACAGACTGTCGCGTTAACATGTTAGTGAGCTTCCCTTTCTTCCCTTTCTTCGTTTTTCTCGGCTTCTCTCCTGTTAAATTCTCGTGTCAATGAGCAAGAAGAGCCTCGCTTTCGCTCATCGTCTCATCTTTCCCTCCAATTTCAAGCAGCAGCCAGCTGTTCGGTGCTGTTGATGCGTGCGACGTGTATACGCTTTTCATCACGCATGTCTGTCGCTCGGTAAACGATAGCCAAGATGCTATTTTCTCTCCTTTCGAGTATTATGGCATTATCTCTTAATCCTTTGTGAAACATCGAGACATCCAACTCTCTTCCCACCTTCTCTGTAATTTGCATTTCTTTCTTTTTAAAGACTACATAAATTGTAAATAAAATTAAAGTAACACAAAATTTTTTTCTTCATTAAAGAAAATTAATATTACTCCGATTTTCGCTTACTATTGTAAATATTAGGTGTTACAACATATGTAAGTCTTAGGAACGTTTGACAAATAGTATTTAAAAAATTTAAGCAAATATAAAGAGATATATTATATAAATGTGTTTTGCAAAGTCATCAACTTTATATGTTACATTCAGCTATATCGCCACGTAACGCCCAATTTGATTCCATCATATGAAAGATAGAAAGAATATTACGTACAATATATGTACCTATAGTAAACATGCGTGTCTGAATTCAAGAAGAAAGTCAAATAATGTCAATTTTGACGTTATATTGACCGATTATTGACCGAATTTATTTGTCGTGATTCAATATGATATTATTTTTATTTTTTTATTCTTGAAAAATATTTTGAAGGACAACTTAAAAGTTGTCTAAATCTGGTTTGTTATTCGACAATGCTTCACTGTTCAAGCTCATGCTGTAATTGTCATTTCAAAATTATATTCTGTAAGCGCAAGTTTTCTTAATTCATAATTTTTCGTTTCAATTTATAATTTTCTTCTTTAATGTGTGATTCGAAGATTGCAGCGGTAATCATCTAGCTGCTACTAATTGATAAAGAGGCTTCCCAACAATGAAATTGAAGAGGCTCTCCATACTGCAATCTTGAATTTGAAAACGATAATAAATGATATTAAAACTGATACTTGATCGCTGAACAGAGCCGAAACTTTCGATATTGTATAAATATAGGTTTAAGAAATATAATTTACATATAATTCTCGAATAACTGCGTCGCAATTCTGCTCTCAATCGCCTGTATTAATTTATAATTATATTCATTTGGATTTGGAATATATAACGTTTTTAGGACGTCTTATGTCTGCATTTAAACACAGTTGAGTAAAAAATTTTGGACGTCTGAGAGAATTTTAAGTTGTCTCAATTAAAGATTTCTTTAATTAAGATGTCTTAATGTTTACTGGATAGATTTTGTTAATTCACAAGCGAATTAATCAAATACCATCGTTTGCGAACAGATCTTAATTTCGCGGGAAATTATGCCGCCTTAATAATTGAACTACTAGTTGTCTCGCATCCTATAAATACATTATAGAAACACACGTGCAAATTTCGCGCGTGTCCTATGCATTTCCCATGCGCATTGACGCCTAAGAAACGCACAAGCATTATTTCATCTAGTCATCGTGGGAAATCCTTCTGCGCTACTTTATGGATTCCATTGGATCTCATCGTAACTCGCGAGTCTTCTTCGCGAAGCGCTCTTTGGGAGAAAAAGAGAAAGAGAAAAAAGAAAAAGAGAGACAAAAGTAAGGGAAACGGTTGAACGAAATCTGGCGACGAGCGTCGTTCTCGTCTCTTGATTAGCGGTTGTTTAGGAACAGTGAAAGTTTCTCCGCTCGCGAGAGATGCGCTGCCTTTTTGGAAAGAGATAAACGCGGCTTCCTCTCGTCTTCTCGCCTCCCCCTCCTCCTTTCTACCCATCAACCTGCGACCCCTTCTCTCTTTTTCATGACGAGAATTGATGAGAGAATTGTTGTCGCTGTCGCGCAATATGCGTTCTCATGCGGAAACGCATTGAGAAAGGAAATCGTCGCCACGAGGAATTAACCCTGTGGCCCATCTGTCCGACGAAATCGGGATCAAGCTGGCGTCTACCCTTTCACCCCCTTTTCACCAAACGTTCTGTGAAATGTCAGTTAATACTATCGTACGCAAAATACGTCAATTACTCGTGCGTAAAACGACACATAGCTCGAGTATAATCGGGATTAAAATGCCGCGTTGACACGTACTGATTGACGTGAGATTAATTGTCCGTAAAAATGGCGCTGCGAATTTCTACGAGGAGAAAAAAAATCGCGCGCTCATCTGCGATTATTTTTTTAAATAATTTTCAAATTTCTTTTGTTTGAAAAACGGAGTTTTTACTTCTTTGGAAAATTGACAAATCTACCTGGATTCTTTCTTCAGAACTTTTTGAAAGAGAAGTATAACTTAATTCTTATACTTATAAGTATATACAATAAACAATTGTTCCAGTTCTGAAAACTAAAAAATTAAAAAGGAGTGAAGGATAAATCTTACTGAAATTAAAGTTAATCTTACATTGACAAAAATAAATATTTTTATCAATGTAAGTCTTTTAATCTCAGCTTAAAATTTATTCTTTACATAGAACAAGATAAAAAAATAAGTTAAACCAAGATCAAAATTAATCTATATTGGTAGAGTTAGACATTAGGCAAATTTAAATGTGGAAATTCCACGAACTCGGACTCCAGATTCTACTCGAATTGGAAAGGTATACAGTAAGTTGACAAGCGTAGATAGTTTTATGTAAAAATACATAAAAAAGCTTTATTTCGCCACCGTTTTCTTGCAAAAAATAAGTATAAAAAACATCTCTCCTTCGCTCTAGTCGTCGTAAACATCATCATCATCATCATCATCATCATCATCATCATCATCATCATCATCATCATCATCATCATCATCATCATCATCATCATCGTCGTCATCGTCGTCATCATCATTATTATGGTAGTCGTCGTTGTGATCGATATCATCGTTCTTTTCATCATCGCCATCATCATCATCATCATCGTCGTCGTCGTCGTTATCGTATTCAACATCGTCATCATCATCGCCGTCTTCAACTTTGTCATCGTTGTCATCTTCTTCTCTCGGCGATCGCGCATATAATACAGCAATACGTCAATACGGTAAGTATTATCGTCGCTGATCATGTTAGAGGTATGTGAGCGGTGTGTGCGTGTGTGTTGATGAACAGGAGGGTAGGACGGAGGGGCCACGACGGGGGTAGCGGTGAATTGACTAGTATGGCCCGGATCCACCGGGTGCCCCGTAACTCGTGCTGGGTCCACTTGGTCCGGTGCCAACGATACCGCCACCGATACCGCCACCGATACCGCCACCGACACCGCCGCCGACACCGCCGCCGAATCAGTGATGCAACCCGCCGACACCGCCACCAATTCCGTGACCGATGCCACCACCACCACCTCCACCGGTGACTTCCTTCTGCAATGTGAAGAAACAAAGATTAAGTAATTAGATCAATTTAGGATTTTCGTTTTTTCTCATTTCTTTATTAAGTTTATTTCCTTTACCTGAGTCTTGTATTTGATAAAGTAGACTTCCGGTTTGCTGGGTTGAGTGGGCGTGATGGTGGGCAGGTTGATCTCGGGCGCCTCTTCGGGTTTCTTGACCAAAACGTAGATGAGCGTTTTCTGCTCATCCTGCTGCTGCACTGGAATTATCGGAGCGGTCGGGGTTGGTGGAGTAGGTGCCTTGATGAAGATGATCTTATAGTGCTTTTGTGCCTGATATCCTCCGCTTATGGGCCTAGCCGGTCTTGCCTCGGGAGCCTCTGGAGGCGGTACGTGAACGTAGATGTGTTTTTGAATGAGCGAGCCACCTCCGAATCCACCGCCACCGCCGCCGAATGCACCAGAGATACCATCTCCACCGCCGACACCGCCGCCAATGCTAGCAATTCCACCTCCGCCACCTCCACCGCCGAACGAGGAAATGCCCTGGATACCATCGATACCTCCGGTGCCACCGCCGACACTTGGACCACCGCCGAAACCACCGACTCCGCCGCCGCCGAAACCACCGATGCCACTAATACCACCAACTCCACCGGCGAGCGGAAATCCACCGGAAGGAGCGCCATAGCTACTGCTTGGCTGGCTATAAGAGTATCCGGCTTCCGGCCGCGCCATCGCCGTCGCGGCGAGCGCCAGGATCTATAAATGCAATTCAATTTTAATTTCCTGATGTGTTTAAATATTGAAACCGAAATTGCGACTTTAATATTTGAGCTTTATTTTATCATTTTTCTTTTGTAACTATTTTATTATGTTTAAGATAAACATCCCTGTAACCGGACATGCACAAAATCTATTATTTAGATATTAATTTTAAATGCTTTTTTTTATTACAATATTATAATTTAACGGTATTTAAAAATTGCAATTAAATTATAATATTATATTTAAGAAAGCATTTGAGATTAATAATAATATAAACAAATATAAAATTTCATGAAAATATCCGGATATATAGTAATTACATGTCCGATCACTAGGACGTTTACTTATTATGATTCTAAGGGTCCTATTCTGTAACTCTTAACGACTCTAACGATATCATTAAATTGTCGTTGCGTAACTTTTTTACTATATACGAAATCTGCGCAATGACAATGTAATGGTATCGTTGCAGTCATTAAGAGTTACAGAATAAGGTCCTAAAATTAAGATTAATTCCATTAATATAAGATTAATCTCGGTTTAATTTAGTGTTTATTTTTTTCTAATTTTTAGAAGTAGATAAACAGTAAATTGAAACAAAAGTAAGATTAATTTATATTGGTGGAATAGGATCATAATGTTCTATAAATACTTTTCGATACCTCACTTTTTTTTCATTGCAATTCAGTATAATTATTGTGCTAAAATTATGTGCTAATATAAAATTATAATGTAGTTCGTGAATAAATCAAGTTGAATTCTCTGTAAAGTTGAACTCCAAGTATTTCTTACATAGAAGAAATGTACATATGCGAAAAATGCATTATTTATTTGTATACATTAATATAAAGAATTCTCACGCGTATTTAATTGAAGAAAAATTAGGTACCTCTTCCTCAAAGATAATATAAATGTTTCATTTAATTTTATTTTTAATGAACAATGATTCTCGGTATTCCTCTATTCGTTTTTGCAATAAACGTATCTAGAGAGCAAGCAGTAAACAGTTCAGAAGTGTTTCCGGAAGTACACGGTGGTAAATTTACACCGTAGAACGTAGATCCCTTTCTTTCAGTCATCGGTCGCGCTTAATGTTTCACGGTGTTAGCGTTACATAAACCCGGGAGAGAATTCCGACATTTAAGTTCTTTTCTTTCTGTTTTTCTTTTTTCTGTTTTCGCGCAAACGGAACTAGAGAAGTGGCACAATCACTGAACCGGTTCTCGGGTTAGTCACTATCATGGAGTACATTGACACCGCACACAATATTCCCTGTGCACCCTCCCCTCTCTTTTACTTTCTCCCGCGTTCTCCCGCCTCCCGCCCCCGGATGAAACCTTCGATCTCGATCTTGATCACGAATTCTCCTCGTTTCTCTCACGGTCTTATCTTCCGAAAAAGATCCCGTATACGCGAGAAGAGAAACAGAGAGGGGGATCCGAATAAAAAGACAGCGACAGGAGAGAAGAAGATGAAGAAACCGAGAAGAGAGTGAGAAAAGGATGAGAGGAGGAAACGAGAAATTGGGGAAATCGTCGTGGACGGGCTACTCACCATGAATGCCCTCATGGTAGCTGCTGTTCCTTGATTTGAGGACTGATGCTCCGCAGATGTCTTGAAGCCCCCTTTTATACAGGCCAGCATGGAGGCCCCACTCGATGTCCCGACCCATCACCTATGAGATGCGACGGAGCTATTACAAATTTCTCTCCCTCTTTCTCTCTTTCTCTTTCTTTCTTCCAATTCTTACCTCTTCTTACGATATAGAGCCGTATGCGTTTGCTCAAATTTGTCTCTGTACTTTAAATAAAATTCCTCTATTCAGATAGGTTGCGTCCTACATGGTTGTCACTCATGTCACGTAGCATGGATTCAATGACGAACGTGAGAAATGGACCATATGACATGTTATGCCACAAAAATGGCAAGAATTTATCTAATTGCTTCGATATTATACGCGATAATGTTGCTTTATTCTTAATAAAAAATGATATATATATATATATGTTGTTATGGATAAAATATTACAAAATGAGACTTCATTATTACTATATTAAAAAAATATATATTTATTGATTTTATTGCTTCAAGTATCACATTTATAAAATTGTTAATGACAAATTTTTAATAATATCGTATAGCCCTTACTTTACAAGAATTTTACGAAAAGAAAACACAATGTACGTTTCTTGGATACTTAAAGAAAGATAAATGCAGGTATTATACCACCCGCAAATTATGCTGCGGTTTGCCATACAAGTTTCAGCCTATTTCCTACAGCCGGCTGCAACTTCCTACATAAGTCGATGTCCGTTCACGAAAATACCGCTTTCTTTAATCCAAAATTTTCTCACGGCTAAATAAATTATTGTTTAATTATTGTGAATTTAATTTGGAAACGTTATAATATTAATATTGATATTATTCAGATATTATTCAGAAATATTGTTCAAAGTAGTGTAGTTTTTTTTCATCTTATGGATGGGAATAACAGTTTTATTGAAATATCTAAAAATTTGACTAGATACAGATCTGAAAATAATTTTATGAACTATCAAAATAATTATGTGGAGTATAGTTGATAGAATTTAAAAGCATTAATTTTACAACATTGCTCATCATGCTTGAATTTCCTACATGATTATTTTTTTCAACGAAATTATTTTCAGATCTGTATCTATCTAAATTTTTATATATTTCAGCAAATTAATCTTCCTATGCGGATAATATATATACATTCGGATAAACATATATATATAAATAATAAGTACGATAAATAATAAGTAAGCATGGATTCTGCGTAGGGTAATTAAATCGCACTTGAATGCAACCACGCGTTTTGGAAAACGTGAGTGAGAGCTGAGGACAGGCTGAATCGCGACAGCCTCTACTTTGACTTGAAACGAACTGATTTGTAGAACGATGATTATAACTGATATTGTCCGCCCGCCTATTCAAATCCGTGAGGAAAATTAAAATTGTGTTTTATGGTTCTGTGTAGACTCATTATCGTGCGTATGCATTCGCATGCGTTTATAAAGCGTGATTTTCGGCGCACCTTGTAGAAAGCGTAACTGGCACATCACCAGGAGCGGCGGAATACGATAAGCGATTCAGTACGGCGAGAAGACGCCATATATTTTAAGGGCGCATATATTGTACTAAATAAGATTGAAATATTTTTTCAATAAATTGGGAAATACATAAAAATTGTGAATTATTAAATATTGTAAATCAAATAGTTATGATTCGTGACCCTTTTATGCATTTCACAATTAAAAAAAAAGAAATCTCAATTTTAGTAACATGTGTACATCGACATAACTTTCGATTTTTGCAATTTTTTTTCTCAACACTCTTCTTTTTTTTCCTTTACATAATATTTGTTGTTTTTTTTTAATGATTGTTTTACGAAGTTCGAGTAGAGATATACGCGTGAATAATCGGTGAATAATCGAATATAACTTTCCTATTTTTTTTTTATTGTTTAATTCTTCAAATCGAAAAATTTAATTTAATTTTTTTGAAAAATCTTTAACAAATATTTTACAAGTAGTAATCACTGTGTGGCGCCTTGGAGGGCACGTGGTCTGAATGTTTCACAACAATACAGAAGTTACTTTTGATTTGTTACGATGTCTTCGTCGCCAAACGTCTGATAAGATTAAAATCGAGCAAGGAAGTGCGTGCTTAACGTCCTTGGGGGTTGTGAGCTCCCTGGCTATGGCGGGTGACGAGGCTTACTCAAGGATGGGCCCGTGTCGATCAACTAAGAGGAACCCCCCACGCTAGAATGTGAGCTACCGTGCCTGGAGCTGCATAACGCAAGGGAAGTTGCGTTCCGAACAATGCCTTCTGGAGGACGGGCATCCTCCAGAAACAAATAGCCAAACCTCGGGCATTTGCGGCTCTGCTTGAGTAAGATCGCGCGACCGCGGTACTCGTGGGATCTTTCATAGATATGACAACTAAAAAATTTTAAAATACTTTTTAAAATTTATGGAATGAGAAATTTCAGAATATTGCGGAATTCATTTGTATGAAAAATTCTGAGAGAATATGTAAACTTTTCTAATATTTCTGAGTATTTTTTTAAGGAACGCATAAAGCCTCGATGTCAATTCGATGTCAAAAGCATCAAATCAATGTCGATTGATGTCGAATCGACGTCGATTCAATATTGATTTCATTTCTGACTGGGCGGCTGAATTGTCGGAGATTCCTTCATGCTAGGTAAAAGAAAGATCAAGGAAATGCTGAAACAGGAGCATTTAAAATTTTGGAGAGAAGCAAAGGGCTGGAGCCAAGAAATTAACGAAATAATCCAATTTGAGTAGAACAAAAGAGCTGGCAACAATGGGAAGAGACAAATTAACAACGGGTATAGGCTTTCTTACTGGACACTTGCTCAGAGAGCTCACTTATTCAACATTGGAGCTGGTCGAGCAGAAAGACTGCCGGCTATGTGGAGAGGAAAGCGAAGTCATCGTGCTTCTGTATCGCTGTACTCTGCTTGTTTGCAAGAGATATATATCCTGGGATCACATGTTTTTAATATCCGAGGATCTAGATGGCACACAGATAGGCGATTTCATAAGCGATACACGATACGGGGCTGGACCGTTTAACTTAGGAAACAAGTAGGGAGAAATAATGGAATTCTAGAGATCGAGGTCACACTAGGCGACTGCCATAGCTCCACCTGCATTATTTATTAATACTGCTATTACTTAATTGGTAGTACCGGACATTAGGCAAATTTAAATGTAAAAATTCCACGAAATCGGATTCCAGAATCAATTCGAATTGGAAAGGTATACCATAAGTTAACAAGTGTAGATAGTTATATATAAAAATACATAAAAAAAGTTTTATTTGGTCACCGTTTTCTTGCAAAAAATAAGAATAAAAAACATCTCTCCTTCGCTTTAGTTGTCATAAAAAAAACACCACCACCACTATCATCATCATCACCATCATCATCATCATCATCATCATCATCAACATCGTCATCATCATCATCATCAACATCATCATTATCATCGTCATCATTATAATGGTCGTCGTTGTGATAGATACCATCGTTCTTCTCATCATTGCCATCATCATCATCATCATCGTCGTCGTCGTCGTCATCGTATAGAACATCGTTATCATCATCGCCGATTTCAACTTTGTTGACAACTTCTTCTCTTGGCGATCGTGCATATAACAACGCGATGGGGATAGCGGTAAATTGACTAGTATGGCCCTAGAGAGCCTATAATCAGAGTGGCGCCGAGAGATGACGTCATATTTTAGCGAAATTCTGCGAGAGAGAAAGAGATATACGGTCTTAGTCTATCCAACAGACTGTCAGTTTTAGGATTAAGTGCAACAGCATTGAACGACATAAATACATAAAGGTACATTGATAAAAATAAAATTATCGAAATTATTTTAGATGGTTGGATGTACAATACCGTTTTGTAATAATTCATTAAAAAAAAGATATGTTATGAAAATAATTCCGAAAGACAAGAACGCCGAATTAGTTAAAGAGTATAAATGGCAAATATAAAAATTGTACACTGTTAAAAAATTCATCTATATGTGAAGTAAAATAATTTATTCTTTATAAATAATGTATTTAAAATATTAAAATAAAAATTAACATAAAATATACACAGATTAATTTATAATATCTGAAGACACGGTGTCTTGGCACTAAGTATATGTATAGTCATCACATTGGTTAATTTAATTCTTTCTTTTTTTATCGTAATTTTTTCAATTATATATCATTGCATTGTAAGTCTAAATCAAATAATATGATAATTACGATATTTAATAT